CGGCAGATCTAGATCTAAGGGAATATTAAAAATATTTCCTTCGACTTCGATCAGGGAAACTTGTATTATCAAGCATAACACTGTTGCAGATCACAAAAACAACAGCATTAAAAAAATTTCAACTTTTGATAGCCAAACACAACTTAAAGCCAGCTTGGGATTATGGATAGGAAAACACAATATTTATAATAAAATTAATTATTTCATTTAGGAAAAGCAATAAAAACTATTTATTTATTATCTTTGTTTATTTGTTGTTTTATTAATATCAAATAATAATAATAACTAACAATTGCATCTGTGGACGACTAACATCGTCCAATTATTATTATATACCATATTAATATAACACGAAATTTCTGATCATACTGGTGCTTATATTCCAGACAATACGATGAATGTTATTTTAAATCACTCGTAATGACAGACTTGTTTTATTTTCAATTATCAATTGGAAATCGTCAATGAGTAAGTGAAGCAGTTATTCAATCAAGAATAAATATTTCATAATTATAATCTGCTATCTGTCTGAATTATTTCATCTTCAATTGGGAAAATTTCGTGGGTTAGGTGCTTTTATTTCCAATATTTATAATGAATATAATTATTTTTTATTTTCGTCTTCTGTAATAGTTTAAATTGCTCAAAAAAACCTACATAGATAGCAGAACAATTATCTTGTGGTCGAAAATATCTATGGATAAAGTGAAATTCTAATGCCTTCTAAAAATGAGTTGTACATTCTGTAATTTATCACTGCTTGTAGACTTTCTCATTAAAAAACATCTTGTGTGATCCGCTGACAAAGCATGATGTTGACTTTTTTGAGTCAACCTTTGCCTTATCATTATTAATATTTGAGACCAGTTCTGAGATTTTTGAAATAACATTAACCAATTCAAAGCGCATACCATATGTTTTATGGGGGGTATATTAGATTTTTGTCTTAATAGTTTACCCATCTTTAAATCAATCCCTTGTTTGAGGAAAAATAATAATCATCTTGGTACAGTGAACCCTTGTTTCAACGAAGTATAATTAAATTTTTGATACAACGAATTTTTAAAAACGTTGTCACACATTATGAAAACATATAAAATTCATTGAAACGCGATTATTAACCTTGTTTCAACGAATGTTGAATAAAATTTTCTTATATGTCCAGCCACTTCGTTGAAACAAGGGCAGACTGTACATATAAATTTCATTACCAAGCATGAAAATTTTTTACTAGTAATAATGATAGTAAAATAAGTATTTATTTATTTATTTATCTCTTATTCCACATCTTTATTAATATATATAAACTAATTTTAAATATAATTAATTTAATTAATGTAAAACTTTGAAAAGCAAAAATTGTCTTTAATACACTCCACCTGCCAAAGTATCCGGACAAAATGCAGATCATGTAAATTTCTGTGTTACACAAAAATACTCGAAAATCACGACTTTTGTTCTAAGTAACCAAACACACTATAATAAATGTTCGAAATTGCATATTTCCGTTAATATATACAATTATGATTCTTGTGATTAGTAAGCAAGTAATACAAATTTATTAATGGGAATATTTTATTGGACAAAACATTGTAAATATAATATAATAATAACCTTGTAACAAATAATCTTGCTAATAATAAACAGACCTTAATAAAACCCCTCACCGAAAAGCAACATTAACTTTTGGAATGTCTTTGTTAGAATAGTTATACATGTGGTTCAAGCTTAATAGAAAAAGCCTAAAACTTTATGAAAATCTTTCTAATGAAACATTTATTTTTATGCCTTTGATAATACTGAATACCAAGTTGAACTTACAACAAATCAGAAAAATTTCACAAAAGAAATATCAAATTGAATGCAATTAGCAATAATCAATTTAGCTAAAGGATTTAAAGAGATTTGTAAATTACTGTAAAGTTCCAAAAGATAGCACCCCCATTTTTGTTATTCGCACCCCTCCCGTGACTAAGTGTAGTAATGTGACCAATGAATGGCTTTAAAATGTGATGATTTTATTGGTTCATCTTTGTCTTAGTCACGGGAGGGGTGCGAATAACAATTCTCTTTTTTTCTCTTAAAAAAACCCCCTCCATATAAACAAAAAACTTGACCCACATATAAACAAATCAATGATCATTCTATTCAACAAGAATTTAAATAAGAAAAATAGTTACATGGCCAACTTTTCGTTTTTACAATATATTAATTAATTAATATAAAATGCCAAAACAACAATCTTTACAAGTCAAAAGAAAACAAAGAAACGAGCTGGCAGATGACAAATTCAAGTAAGAGGTGCAGTGGTTGAATCTGCATATATAGTTAGAATGGTGGATTTATTTCTTATGAACTATATATATATATATTTATTGTTATAATTACTATTACTTTTTAACTCACTTTATGACAAATTATTTAATCATTTTGTACAGTGAGTCTGATGTAATTACAAGAAATGATTTGATGATAACTGGTAATTTAAATATTTATGTAATTCCATGTTTCACTATGTATCATCACTAAGATCTTGGATGTTAATAAATTTATTTGATGAACCTTCATCATTATCTCCAACACAAATCTAACTTTAGGTCCTGGTCATGAATATGATGTATTGAGTCAATATATTGATTTAAATGCCTTTTTTCAAGAGATAAAAAATAATATACAGGAAGTTGTGGCACCATTAAAACCTATGGAAGTCTTTGAATCAGGGTTGGCAAATTGACTGGTCCATTGAGAACAGATGGATTTTGGACTGGTCCATTGCCATTAATAAAATACTAAATATGATTAAAGTGTTACATTAATGGACCCAATGGACCACCAATAGACCATCAATGGACCACACATTTGCCAACCCTACTTTGAATTATTAAAGATCATTTATGAGGTATCTTTCATTGTCATCTATTGTTTTATTAATTATCAATAAAGTTTATGGCATCATAATCTAATTTTTTTTTAATAAAAAATATATTCAAGGGAGAGAATCAACATTTTGGTGGGAAAGAAGATATAGAGATCATCAATACCAGTTTACCATCACCATCAATAATAAAGTAAGTTTATTTTGTTCAAATTTTTTTTTTTAAAAGGAATAATTTAATTATTTTATCTTACTACAATATATATGTGTGTGTATTGATAGTGTTGGGACTGAACTGTGTAATAATGCAGTCTTTAATCAAATACAGAGATTTCATTTGACAATGGCACTGTCCATAATAATGATGAGAACTCTTATAACAGGCTTAATAATAACCTAATAAATGTATCAGATGCAACTTTGATTACTATTGAAGAATATCATGATGCGAATTTTCTGGAAGAATTTGCTTGTGGTACTATTGTTGCTTATGTGCCAATACTGATTCAACACATGATGAAGATGGAAATTCAATACTTATTGATGATGAATTGGTGGTTATTAATGAGCGGTTGGGGCCTTGGAGTGGATATGAACATTTGCTCTTGCTTAAAAGTGTATTTAGAAAGAAAATAAATTGAATATTCTTAAGAAGAAGAGTATATGTAGATCACATGAAAATATACAAGCAAGGTGGAGGGAAATGAAGAAAGAAATTATGGCTTATTATGGAATTCAATGATGAAGCATTATCATTTATAATATTAGTGAATGTCTTTGTAATTGAAAATTTTGTTTAAATTGAAACATAAAAATTATTGTTTTTATTTCTCAAAAGAATTTTCTATCTTTAAGGGGTTTTCCTTTTTTATGGGGTTGGATATTTGAATGTGAACAATGGATTCTAATAACTATATTGTAAACGTTCAAATAATTATCACAATTGTTTACAAACATTTAGATATTTATTTAACAATTGTTGTAAAATTAAAAAAGTTATCTTTATTTGTTTGAACTTTACATCTTTAAATAATAAAAATACAATTCTTAAAATACAAATATAAATCATAAGAAAATAAATAATAAATAATCTATATATTGTATGGAAGCTTATAGACTTCCTGGAAAGTATTGATCATAATTAAAGATAACTTCTTGATTATAAATAATATAAATAAAATAATAATATGATTATATTCTCCACAATATAACATAACAATATAATATCCACTTTTCTTAATAAAAATAATAATGATAATAATAATAATAATATGTATAATTCTTTAACCAAAAATCCCGATTGCCAAGTAACTTAAATTAAACGATAAAAAAAAATGAATTCCTCTTACCAAATATGGTAATGAAATTAAATGCCATTTGTGTGACATATTATTTCGAGGATCGTTACATATATAATCATGTATTTCATATCACAAGTAAAAAAAAATTGATAGTTCTTCATCATTAACTTGTAACACATACCTTTATTTTTGATTGTTCAATGTTCTTTTTTTTTTAATAGTATTTTTGAAAATTTTCCTTATTCCCATACCATATTACATCAACTCATCACTTTAAGCTTTTTTTTTTTGCAAAATTGTGGTTTCTATGTTTCTTGTGCTGCCAAACCAACTCTGTTTGGTAGATAACACATAATCATTTGCCGTTGTGCTGCATTAACCACATTACATGGTTCAAAGTGTATTTCAGAGATAAAAAGTGGTGATAACAAAGAGAAAATTTTTATGATAAATGGACAAACACATATTAATGAATCAAAGTAGGTGAAAGAACATGTATATCAAGAAACACTTTTAATGTCTCATCATTGTTCAAAGGTCATAAGTTAAAACAAATAGTATTATTAATATTAATTGCTATAAATATAATATATAGAGTTAAAAGGTTGTTAATAATTAGTATCAGAGAGGGTACATTAGAAGATATAGTCAAATTAAAGGTTTCTTCTGGATTCCCATTAACACCATTAATGACGAATGGATCAGCACTGAAACAGCAATGACATTAAGAACAACATCCCTAGTTGTAGGATTGGCAATTGTTACACAAAGTTTAGCACCTGAAGTTATAGTATTTCTACTGTTAGCAGCCAAACAAATATATCCACTGCCTCCACATTAAGAATTACCAACAACTGAATTGGTAGTTGGATTTGATAAGGCAGATATAAATGCCAGTGATGTGAGTGTTGCTGCCTGATTCCCAGAAAGAGTTGAACCATAACTGACTGAGAGTTCAGATGAAGGTGGTGTAAGTCTTATACTGTAAGCTGTAAAAGTCATCTTATTTGTTAGAGCTATGTAGATAAATAGAAATCTTGTTTAATATAATAAAATTACCACCAAAAGTAGTTGGATCTATACATGAAGTCGAAACTATTTCAACCATTGCAGATCTGGTCAAAATAGGGTTGAAATAAGGCCGAAACTGATTTTTACTATGTAGTTGCCTCAAGTTGAAACATTTTGACTTTGGGGTTTTAATTTTGACTTCATGTATAGTTGGATCAGAATCACAAATTCCCCAAGCACCATAGTTAGCTGGAACAGCTATGGTTTTGTAAGGAATATTAAATATTAGGAACAATTGTGTAAGTATTAGGGCTCTGTTAAATTAATATAAAAATAAATTAATATATACATATAAGTGCTTTATATAAAGATAATATTAACCAAGAAAACAACCAATATGAAAAGAATCAAAAATTTATTCATAATGTATTTGGGACATGATTTTGTTATATTGTCATTATTTTCTAAGAATTAGGAAAAAAAATTCTTATTTTCACTTAAGGAGAAAACAAGAGCATTTATATTCATTTCATTTTGGATAAAGTATCCAAGAATCTTAAATTTGTCAGGATTCAATGAGCTTACACACCATGCTTTTTCTACCAAATAAAGAGATCCTGGAATATTCTTATTTAAATATATGCCAAGTATATTATTTAAAAATTGCAAAAGTAATCCAATTGCTACTTTAGGTATACGAAAAGTTTGTTGAAATAATAAAATCCAGAAAATTATCCATTGTGTTAATAAGTCTGAATAGAAAATTGGTGGTTTATTTCGATTATTATAGTTTTGTCTAAAAT